TATTTTCAGTTCACAAATTGACACAACATTGAGTTTCTTTCTAGAAATGTTAAATGAGGCTTCCTTTTTTTGACATGGCAGATATTGTCTGCGAAATGTCTTCCTAAATGCGCGAGAGCATGTCAGCATTCACCTCGGCTAGTGCGTCATTCATGCATTGGCGAAGCCCATCCATAGTCGTTGAAGGAAGTGAGAGATGCACCCCTTTTACTTTAACGTATCCCCACAAACAAATGTCAAAGGCCGTTAGATCAGCAGATCGCGGAGGCTAAGCTATGCACCTTGTGAAATCCAATCCGAACAGTGCAAGATAGGTACTCGGGGACCTCTAGGAAGTAATGTGGAGGTCTTGCTTGAATATGATTCCATCCGTGACCTCTTGAAGTTCTCGCATCAGGTAGTGCTGCTACGTTTTTAGATATGCAATTCCCGTTGCAGTCTGCTCATATAAATATGGTTCGTAAACTTTAACTGAACTCAATGTACAAAAGACATTCAGTTTTGGTGAGTCGCGTGAGTGTTCTGAGATCTCAGTCCGTTTCTGTGTGCCCCCATATGTGTGCGTTGTGGCGGTTAACAGTACCACCAATGTGAAACGCGGTCTCGTCATTGGCCACTATATCTTCGAGACAATCATGTTTATTTTCCATCCTGATCATCAGTCCGTATAGAACGTACACCATTGCGCACCCTTGACTTAATCGTTCAACGCCTGCGTCAGTTGCAACTTTTACGCCTTATATTATTGCAGTCGCCGACGTTGAATTCGAACTTCCTTGCGCTCTGTGCACTCGTCTCCTTCGTAGACTCGACAACGCGGTCCCGAGCGAACGTGACCCGAGAGCGACCGTGTCCTTCCACTCGGCGTGCCACACAATGGGCCCTGATTAAAAATGAGCACTTCGAGCAATTTGCTCCGGAGCAATGTGAGTCTACTCCACGACACTTAGCAAAAGCTCCATTTCGTATGAATAAAAACTTCGTATGTCTCCGAAGAACTTACTCATGTCTCGCTAGCATTTGCTCGTTGTGAAAAAGTGATAGTGCAGGCTAAGAGGTTTAAAAAATGGTTTACTGAATAACAAAGAGATTACGCACGTCGCAAAGAGCGGAGCAAAGAGCAATGCTTTGTGGTCTCGTTCTTTAAATTCAAATATGAGTAGCAGTAACGAAGAACAGGCACCAGAGGCCCAGCTAGTTCTGCTGAAATGCTAAGAGAATATACAATTATTTTTGAAAAGAGCCAGTTTCCGGAGGTACGTTTTGCCGAAGCGAAGCATTACAAAGTTTGATAAACAGTACCCCCAAAAATTCAGAGTAGAAAAGAGCGATGGCCAATTAACACAGATAATATGCAATATGAAAAGCGTCTAAAAGCAAACGCCGATAAAAATAGTACCAACTCCCCAAACAATGTATATTGTCCTTTGCGAATCGTTAAAGATTCTTATAATGTACATCACGAGAATTTCACCTTATCTTATACTTTTTTGTAGTCCGCTGCATCTGCATATCAGCATACGATACAAAATAAGCCAATTAACCTACTTTTCAAACGCGAGTCTGCTACTAAGGTCCCTTCGAAATTGTGAAGCAAGTGCTGAATCTAGAGTAAACGCTTAACTTTATTCATACCACCCAGTGTTTCCACAAATCGCTCATACCATGCTATTCTAGTGTTTGCTTTAGGCGGAACTTTGTGATACACTGAAGCGTTTTGTTACATCAATTGATTGCGTTTCATGGTAACACATCTCGTTCCACACAGTCATACGTCTCTATTGTGACTGCAGTGTCACTGTTCCCGCCAAGCGATTAACTGGAGACACGTGTGGCGGCTTAAAAGCTGAGAACATGGCGCGAGGTTTGTAAAGCACCCAGAGAAATGGTGGTTTCAAAATCATGTCATGTTCCTTTAGGTAACTAATTTAGAAAACCCCTGTGTTATTACGAGCAGCAACAAGAACATCCAGACAATATTCACAACAATGTAATACAAAATTACTATATTTTGTTGCATGCATGTGGCTTGCACACCGTTTATATCTCTCGACATTGTTGAAGCGCTATCGAAGCATTCAGCTGTAACATTTTCTCATTGTATTTCCAAATTTTCAACAATAGCACCCACATCCTTGAAAATTATTCCAGCATCAGTTTTTACCACCCTATTTTCTTTCTACGTCGTGATTAGAATCCGGAACGTATCTTATAGCGAAGGTCCTCAGTTCTTGGTGCCTAATCATTGGCGGACCAAAAGGTGCCCCATCGGGAAAGTAAATAAACTTTGTACGCCTGTACGTAGTAATTTACTCTTGCGTGGTCAGAATCCATTTTGTGGGACCTTGATACCAAAAACTCGATTGACGGCGAAAACATGTCCGTCCTGCCTGTGGTCAACTCTTAAACCGTTCAGACGATTTTTTCCAATACTGACATTCCGTGATCGATCTAGATGAACTTGAGGCCCTGCGAGATGGGAACTAGTATTTTGAATACATAACATGAACATTCGTATATTTGAATACGTTACATAATTTCCATGGAGACTAATATTATTTTCACATTTTTTACTAAAATAGGTCCATTTTTTTAATATTAAACTTTTTAATCGAATTGCGTAGAAGACTTCGATCGGCTAAATCGACATTTAGCAATCAGGAATGAAAAAAAAAAAAAAAAAAAAATTTGCTTATGTTTCATTTAGGATGTCTCCATCTATTGAAGAAATAAAACTTGCAAATAGGTGCAAATATGAGTGGACCAAAAATAGGGTTACATGCATGTAACAATGGGGTTAAAAAATGGGGCATGTCTTATTTTCGTTGAAACCGTAATTTTTCGATAATTGCAAAAGTTAAAAAAAAGTTAGGCGTCTTCCTATAACTATAATATTGTAGAAATCTTTTTTCTTTCTCGCTACTGCTTTTGCAGTATAGAGAAAATATTGTAATGCTGCGGGGGTAAGAGGCGAGGTTTCGAAAGAAAAACTAGAAATTGTCGGGCCGTGGTAACGAAAAAGTGAATAAATCTTGCATCTATATAAAGTAAATTACTTCCTCGATCACGCTGTGTAGTCAGAATCCATGTTTTCATTGATACCAAAAAATCTATGTGCGTTTTCCCGTTTTTTCTAAGTTAGTTACCTATGATGGAAAACGTCTGTCCATCCATCTGTGAACAATGCTAACAATCTTAAGCATAATTTTCACCAAAATTGATATTCCCCAATCGATCTGGCTGATGCCATGGCCCTTTGAATTTGAAACCAATTTTTTAATGTTTTTGAGGGAGGTACTAGTATTTTGCATGTAGCGCCTGGAACATTTTCACAAAATAGCGCTATTTGTTATGAAATATTGGCTTTCGATGGCGTAAAGGACGTTTAAAAGAATTGAACATGTCTCATTTTCGTCGAAATCAATTTTTCAAAAAAAAAAAAAAAAAAAAAAAAAAAAAGAAGTATGTTCATAAGGAACAGATTTTCAAATAAGATCATGTTCAATCTTTCGAAAATATGAGTATATTTTGCGCATATTTGAGTGACACAGGCAATTTTTAAATTTTAAACAGTTATTTGCACAAAAACGAACTCGAATATTTTCTTTTTTTATGTATGTTGCAAAAAACGGAAAAGAAAGTGATGCTGGTCTCTGTCGGTGCACTCTCCACATTTTCGTGAAAGAAAAAAAAAATTGCAAATTCCAATTTCCCGCGCGTCGTTTGACGCGCTGTCGGTTCGCAATTTGGCAAGACGGCTGTTTCAAATTATATTCGAATTATTCTTGTTGTTGCCGGTCGTGATGATCGTATGATATAGATAAAATTCTTACGAGAGGAAATAAGTTTAACGAAGGTAAAATATTTAACGTAGAACTAACAAATACACTTCTTTTATGGAAGAAGTTTAATTGCTAGATTATGGTGCTCAGAAATTGATGTCTCGCTTGGATTTAATCAAGGCTAGCTTCTGCGAAATATAATTTCTTTTCTATATAACTGCAAATGCTGTAACAGTGAAATTTATTCATGTTTCATTTGAAAACGTTAGAAATTACTAATGTAACTGGCTATTGAAATAAACGCAGATAAACACCACAGACGCTTCGTTTGAATTGGTTGAATCGGGCTTTCTCAAGTTTTTATGATGGGAGAAACTACAATTTCTGTCATACTGAAAAGACTTGTGTGTTTCAGTATTACGTAGCCATTTCCAAAAATGCGAAAAAATGTGCTGTTGTAGCACCTCTTGTTACATTAATAAAATCTGTTCAACATTGTTTCATGAAATAAGGTACTAGTGGGAATGTGCGAAAATAGTTTTTCCGTAATTTAGCATGAAATATAGGCACTTTCGAAAACAATATTTTCATCAAATTTGAAAATTATTAAATATTTTATAATATTTTGAACATTACAAAAGTTCAAATTAGTTCCACATCTTCCTAGAAGTAGAATATTGAAGATTGAGATAGTTTTCGTAAACGAATTGTGTTTTTAAAACGTTGATCTTGAACTAATGACTCGCAAAATCTCTGAACTCTCAAAACTCGCAAATGCAAATATTCAATTTTCTTTTCAATTCGTCGGAAGGACGTGTTTACCTATGAGGTTAGCGGTGTAGAAGTAACGTGAATGGCGTGCTAAAACTGAGAACCTAAGTTCGATTGCCAGCGTGGAAAAAATTGTTGTATGGAAACACCTTTGCAGATTCAAGTAGAATTATAATATTACGTAGTCGTTATAATGCAAGAAAGTATGTGGCATATTAGTACCTCTAGTTTTTAATTATCTTTATTTTATACCAATCCTCCAACCCCTCCATATATACTGTCCATATAGACTCTCTGTCCTCCATTGTCATTTCAATGTGCCCTTAAACTTACAGTAGAGTTGATTTTTTTGGTGAAAATCTTTAATTTAACCATTTTGTGAAGCCTTCAGAAAATCCAGTTATGTGAATTATTTAATGCAATAATTTGAAATTTCCAATGTTTCAGGAAAGACCCTGCAGGTGAGCCCGCAGTGAACCATGGCATTTTGAAGGAATCTACGGAGATGATCTGTGAAGAATATGAGAGGCCCGGCGAATCGGAAGCGGATGATATAAAATCCGAAGTTAACCAAATCGAAGAGAAAAAATCTAATAACAATGTCACAACAAAACCTGTGGAGAGAGAAGGCAACTGTTACTGGTACAAATACGTTTTGTAATGGGTATAGTATTGTAGAACTCCAAATATCTGGATAAACGGTGACCGATTCTGATAATTTGATCAATCATGAAAATAACTCATTTCTTTAAAAAAAGTAAAAAAAGAGCTAAATATGCGTGCACATACTACTGTGCAAACTAAAACACACGCACGCACGCACGCAAAAACAACACGGAAACAAAAATTACAGTGGCAAATTAGTCTGGGTTAAGATGTCGGGTGACTGTTGTAGGTAGCACCGACTTACACAAGAATGTGCGGGCAGTATCCATTGTTCCCTGGAAGATTTTATCTTTTAATACATTCACTGCGGATACATTTTAGGAAAAAATGGAATAAAATTGATTCGTTTTTATAAAGTAATTTTAGTCGCAGATACTAGTTTTTCCTCAAACCCATCCGGATAATTGGAATTATGCTGTATCTTAATGTTGATAAATTTTAGACGTGTAATTTTGTTCCAGTGGAAAGGACAGAAATCTGAACATCGTAGAACTCCTCTGTGCCAGCTGTGTGCGTTGGTTTCATGAATCTTGCATTGGATACCAACTTGGTAAATTGGTCCCGTTTATGATGAATTACTTTTTTGTTTGTAAAAACTGTTCTCCAACTGGACTGGAAAGCTTCAAGAAGAATCAGGCAGGTGAGTTTCCTGTAGTGTAGATTGTGTATATGTTCGTTTTGAACCATTGTTTTGCATGTATTTTTTGTGAAACTTTATTCACTTTTTTAGTATATAAATTAAAAGATAGCTTTGATTTTGACTTTCGCATACTGCTTACGCAGGGTAGAGAAACTACTGAAATGCGAAAAAATGGGCAATTTTTCTACAAAGAAACTCGTTGCCGGGCCCTGATTACGAAGAACATATTAATCTTGCTTCTAAACATAGTAAATTACTTAATCTATTACGTCGTGTAGTCAGAATCTATGTTTTGTGGGATCTCGACACCGAAAAATCGATTGATCGCAAACATCTGTCTGACCTCCCGAATGTGGTCAAAGCCAGTACCTAAACTGTTCGGACGATTTTTTCCAAAATTTGTATTCGTCAATTGATATCAATGAACTGAAAGCCCTCTTGTGTTTGAAGCGAATATTTTGAGATTTAGGGTTTTTTTATAAGAAGCCTCCACATTTTCAATTGTTTTTAAATGCTCAATTTTGTTTTAATAGAGCAAACTACTCAAAGAATTGGTGTAGTCGTATTTTCGTTGCACTTTGGTAGTTTTCGAAAATTCCATTAGTTCAATTTATTTCGGCGTCTTCCTTCAACTACAATAATGGAGATGAAATTGTTTACCTTAATGATATCTCGGAGTTTTTCGAAGAGAGAAGAGGAGAAACTTCAAGAAATGCCCAAAAAGGGGCTGAGAGACGTGTTGTGATGACGCAAAGCTTTTTTAAAAAGAATGCAGACCCCGGTCCGCTTTCATTGAATGGATTCTCCAGCGAGCGGGTTCATCGTATTGGCGCTCTCTGAACCTATTACATATTGTGAGTTCTTTAACGTTGCTATAAAATCCCCTAAACATTTTTCATCATGCCTTTACCAAATCAACTTATTCCTCGTGTTTCTAACGCAATTTGTATTTGAAATTGATCCCATTGTAAACTACTCCACCACCCTTAAATAATCATTATACGTTATTTGTACCAAAAGTCCCGCAGAGGTGCTCTTGCTTAAGGTTATACGAATGTTAGGAGTCCCCGTTTTTACCTTTTCCGGCAACTACCCATTGTTGGAGAGGTCTGTGCAATTTTTGTTACCGTATCAGTGGGTCACAGTACGTCTTGGGAAGTAGGGGGAAGGGCGTGGCAATTGAAAGTTGACTCAATACTTGCTGATACTTAATGAAGCCAGTATATGTACCGTGCAAGCCAAGTGTGTGCTAATTTGTAATGGATGCAAAGTGAACCTCGAAATCGTCCTAAATAGGATTATTTCGTGTTTTCGGGAGCGTCAACTGCTCTGGTCATTGGCTCCGTAAGTGTAGTGTATGTTACACCCCGGGCGGTGAACCCCTCTGGATGCGCCGACCTGCAAGTCGGTTTGTGGGGTATTTCTCCCTGCACGTCTCCCCCTTGCGGGGCACCGCCCCAGCCGGGACATGCTCTTAGGGCACGCACTTGTATACTTCGGTTTATTTAGGATCCTTTGAGCTGTAACGGTGTTATCCAATCGGGAGCTGACGGGAGTGACGTCCAAGTTCCGGATTGGATGACACCATAACTGCCAAAGGACACTAAATAGTAGAAGTATAAAACGCATAAGTTAGTTTGTTTAGGATACTGCCCTTACAACCTGCAAAAGCCTCATCGGCTGCAGGTATTATGTATTCCTAATGCAAATAAATTCCCGCCCCTCCAGGGCAACTGGAGAGGGGAAACAAAAAAAAGACGACGTGTCGCCTGCATCCGTTTGCTGATCAATGAGCGCTGCTCGGCCGGCCAGGACGGACACCTGGCACGCCGACTCGACAGAATCGAGATCTAGCGCTACATCCTAGCACTCCACTTCCACGCATGTGCGAGAAGAGTGCGGACTACGGACCAGTACATTTATTGAAATTATTTTCAGCGTCCGCCAAGAAGAAAATGCATTGCTTCGATAAAAAACAGTAAATCAAAATTGTCACCAGAGAATAGTAGTTCTTCTGAGTGCGCTTATGGAGCATTGAATTCAAAATAGAAAATTTTAAGCAAAAGTATACAGATTGATATTAATTTACAAGAAAACTTTAAAGAGCACATGTATTTTACAAACCACTATTATTGATAATTAAGGATTTGATAGCTCAATCAATACTGCCTTTCAATTGGAGTCTCCTATCCTTATAAGGCAATGTACAGAACAACCCGCCTAATACATCAATTACGAGAGCTATTTTCCTTACATTCGTGTATAATCAACCAATTGTGTACACTCACAGATATTGGTAAATTTTTCTTAAAACACTGTCGTTTAGTTTCTAGTGATTTGATTAATTAATATTTCACTCAATGTAACGTAATATTTCTTTAAAAAAGTACCTTTGAGGTTAAGTAGATGGTTACTTTTCATTTGCGTAGAAATTTCTTCTAGCTATTGGCTCGCCACCTCTGACAAGTCAGCTATACTAGTGGTTCACTTTATTTTGCTTTACTTATTTAGTCGATTTACCACACATTTGAACTTTATTTCTTGTATGTAAAAATGTCACCGTTTGTTCCAGCATTTCCCCAGATGTGCATCACAGCCCTGGGCAATTTGATGCAGGCCAGCGTGAAGGAGGGCAACCCGAGAACGTTGTTCTCAAAAGACAGAGACATCATTCCCTTCATCGACTCGCACTGGGAAGGCATGACGACCATGCCCCGCAGGGTCACTCAGTCCTGGCACTCGACGGTGAGTGGATCGGCAGCAGGGCCCTAGAACTCCCATATAACGTGGTGGAGACCATTACGGTGGCGCGCTCTGCTGCTCTTCTTTACAGGAACTACTGCCAACGATACTTTAAACGTGCGTGATTGCTGCATGAGTTCGCGGGTCGCAAGCAGGACCATAATGCTACAAAAGATAACGTCTACGTACGCGCTTTCTTTAGAGGTTTCTTACAAGTAGAGATTATGAATAATTGTACATTTAGAAGACACTTTCGTATTTCTCGCAAATTAGCCAATTTGTGTGTGGGAAAGTTGGCGAGCCTAACCTGCAGCTGCACCCGGCGACACTAGCGCTCCCTATAGTAGCAACCTCGAGCTTTGTCCCCGATTTTGATAAAGAGTTGCCGGGCCCTGATCGGCAGGGAGGCTCTGCACGCGGAACTGCGGTGTTCCAACGATCTGCCATGGACGTTTCGGTGCATTTAGCATTTCAATCTTCAGGTGGCGTTGTAAATTGTTACTGCGCACTTTTCAAGTTAATTTAAAAAATTGCACATCTTGAAAATGAACCAATTTGCGAAAATTTAATATCTCCTGTCTGTTCTCATTTCAACTAGAGAGTTTTTAGAACATAGAACACATTACCAATTTTAATACATTTATAACACTTGTTCCATATTATATTTTGCGAAGTAAATAATATAAAATTCCTCGTGGGTTAAACACGGAGAAACATTTAAGTGTTTTTTCAGCGCTCGTGCATTGATTCTAGTTCTTACCGTCACTGTTTATTGCCTGGAAATCGTTACAAGTAGTGTACTTAGAGGGCGCATACGGTAAAATAAGACACCACCAGACGCGTTTCGCAAAGAAGACATGGCCACGTAAGACAATAATAAGAACTAGAAAGTGGGGACACTGGGGTGACAAAAATGTACACGACAGTAGCTTTGCATTTTGAGAATGATCCCACGAGTGAGTTCGCATGAATTTGCGGTAAAATCTAATGTATACAACCTGTACGAAAGTGTCTTTGGCGAAGTCATTTGAAATTCGCTGGATTCGGCACATCTATCGTCTCGCCCGTTAGTACGTCAAAGGCCCGCTTTCTGAACTTAATTATTGTTTTTGTACATTTTTAGATTCATCGGGCGTTAATGAAGGATGTCGGTACTTTGTTCCTGTGTGAGGAAGCTGCTGGTGAAAATACATTGACGTTATACGGTCTTTTGAATCCTGAACTGACTCACATCAAACCCAACTACGAAGCTATGATACGTGGTGGGCACTTGAAGGTGACGGACATGGGAATCCAACATGGTTAGTATTTTCATTTTTTCGGTGTATGTATATAGGTGTGTGTGTGTGTGTGTGTGTGTGTGTGTGTGTGTGTGTGTGTGTTATATATTGTACGTGTCTCTCTTATCTGTTTCTGCGATACGTTGCTCAGAGGGGGTTTAAAGAAATGTGTGGTGCCTCACTCGGCTAGCTCAGCTCAGCGAAAGACAAAGATATTAGCTGTTGGTGCTCGGAAGTTTTTCAAAAACCCATATGAAATTATGAGAATTTAATACGCCAAAAGAGAGAAAATATGTTAGTGAAAGTTATTTGTTGTTTGTCTCGAACGTTGCAGTGCTTTCGGCCAAGGGCTCGACGGTGTTAGTAACCGGAGATGATCACCCGTCCAGGAATCCATGGCGTCTCGAATTTCTTAACTTCCGTGACTTAACGAAGCTTAGTGAATTAATTCGGCTAGCGACGCCGTTCTTTATAGGAATTCGAATTTTATAACAATTCGGATGGAAGCTCTTCCTCAGAAATAATATAATGAACTTCATTTAGCGTTCAATTCATTTATGAGGCTATTACGTATTTCATATTGGTCATTTTTAATGGCACATACGATTGTATGTTTGAAACGCGAAACTGCTTTGAAACTTTACCCTTTGTTTACTATTAATTTGGTTTTTCGAAACAGGTTTGAAATACCTATCTGAAATGGTGCTAGTTATTGTCTTTGTTGAGTTTATTGAGGACCGGGAGTTCAATATGTAATTTGTTTTCCTTATATGCTATAACCCTGGTTTCCCTCTGCCAGAAAATATACAAAATTTGCTTCTTTGAGCTTTCAAAAAAAAAAAAAAAAATGAATTTTTAAACGTCCAGTGTCAGGATGTTCGTGTTCCTTAGCCAGAAAAGCTGTCACAGTACCATGCTGCGTTTTCAGTTATAATAAATATTTTGAGTCCTGTTATGGCAGGGATTTTTTTAAGTAGTGAATTTTTTGATTATTGTTCTGTGTGTGCTGCCATCAACATTGTAACAATTGAATGTAATAAAAGAAGCTAGACACTTAAATTCTCGTTTTTCCTCTTTTTCCACAAAGTACATTTTTGCTACACAAGTAACTTTTTCTCAGGACCAAATCAACCGATTTAATTGAAAATTTCAAGGATAGAGCGTTGGCTTATACTAATAATAATAATAATTTCGAGGTTGATAAGACATTGGCAAATGCACATTTCGACAAGATGATTTTTTGTAATCAGTTTTTAAACATTACTCAAGGTATTTGAGCTATTAATTTTGTTAACTTCACTCGTATGATCACTCAAGTTTTTTTTCTTTCGCACATATCACAAAATAATTGAACAAAAATGTCAAAATGAGCATACCAACTACAGAAAGGGATTCGAAATCGTCAGTCGGTTAGGACGAGAGGAAAGACTGTGTGAGTGCGGCTTAGCGTAGCGGGGCCGTGCTGCAGCTGCGAAGTAATGGTGGCAGCGCTTGCAGGTGGCAGCGTCAAGGGCAGGAGCGCCAAGCGCAAGTTCCCCGGGGAGCAGGGCTCCGGCGGCGGCAAGAAGGGGCGCGGCGCCGAGGTGAACGCGCCCAAGCTGCCCGCGCACGGTTACCCGCTCGAGCACCCCTACAACAAGGACGGCTACCGCTACATCCTCGCCGAGCCCGACCCGCACGCGCCCTTCCGACAGGTACTTGCTCTACAAACATCTCGCCCTTAAAATAACAAACTCTGTACATTTACAGTATTAACAAAACCGATCTTACTGTAAGTTAGTAATGCCAAAGTGCAAGTAAGTTAACTTAAGGACTAGTATGTAAAATTTAGCTGTAAGAAAAAGCCCCTCCTCTAGCTGCTTAAGCCGCAAGGCAGCAGTTTATTGTTAATAATTTAAAGGAAACAAATTCCACTTCTCCACTGGGTTACTGTGGAGGACAAAGAGATACTTGCTATACCTTTGCGGATTGGTTAAAAGTTCTCCGCCAACATTTATAGTGTCAGATTTTCTTAAAATGACTGATGAATTTTTCATGTCGTTACCAACTAATATATATATATATATATATATATATATATATATATATATATATATATATATATATATAGTGAAAGAGAGAGAGAGATTTCAATTTTCCGTTTGAAAATTAAGAAATTTTGCGCGATGACATTCCAGATAAAAACTTGGTTATTTTTGTGCAACAATTAGGATTGAAAGTATTTTAATGGTGCGCACGGTATTCGCGTATACCACCCCGGTGGTTAAGAATGAACCTCGCCCGATGAAATGTTGCCTCCGGCCGCAGGAATTCGACGAGAGCAGCGACTGGGCGGGGAAGCCCATTCCGGGCTGGCTGTACCGCACCCTGAGCCCCAGCTCGGTGCTGCTGGCGCTGCACGACCGCGCGCCGCAGCTGAGGATCTCCGAGGACAGGCTGGCCCTCACCGGGGACAAGGGCTACTGCATGGTGCGGGCCACTCATGGTACGGAAACGACCTGTTTGCTAAGTGCGATCTAGATGGGCAGTGGAACTCCTCATAACTAGCACCTATGGGATTGGGATATGGTCAGAGCAAAAAATGAGTTCGAGTAATCTGAAAAACATGATTAAAAATGCAGTACAAACTGTACACAATATATTACAAGAGAATTTATCTTGATTATTCCTAATTTAAATTGACACTTGTATTCAAGCACTACAACAGTGCGGTAGGCATTGAGAAGGAGTAAAAAAAATCGAGACAGGAAAAAGGGCGAAAAGCGGTCAGATATCTTGAGGAGTTGGATATGAGGAGTTCTACAGTGTGGATTTATTTGTTAACACTGATGTATTATTGATCAATTGTACATTTGTTGAAGCTGTGAGTAGAGGCACTTGGTATTGGGAAGCTACAGTGGAGGAAATGCCTGAGGGATCTGCTGCAAGACTTGGCTGGGCACAAGAGTATGCAAATCTTCAAGCACCTTTAGGTTATGACAAATTTGGATATTCCTGGAGATCAAGGTATGTTTATTAATACTTCTCAAGAAATATTTTTTTAAATTTGGCATCAAAAACATATGCATTATTATGATATGGTTGGCCTCTGGAAAGTGTCCTTCTCTTATCGTAATTCTTGAGCCAAGTTCTTCAACTGTTGTCTGTTCACTAAGATAATTGTTTGACCGCCGTTGGCATTGACATTCAATGCTACTACTCTTTGCATGCAGATATAGGCACTCCCAAAACTATTCGGTCACCCAGGATTTTCTGGAATTGAATTGATAATGGTAATGAATTGTTTTTAAAAAACTTAAAAATCTAAAAATAATATTCGTATATTATTTCAAAAATGCAGTCCCAAAATAACATAAACAAATATGTCCTGATTCAAATGGTCATTTTTAGAGGCCGTATATTTACGCAATTACATACTTTTTGTTTTTCTACGTACCGTTCTCAAATTTGTAATCTTGGCGAGCCATCCAAACACAATACACAATTTTTTCATTACATAATTTGGTATTTTCACAAAATATTTTTTATTCTATCAATTTTCTTTATATTTTTTTTTTTTAATGAAAATAACTATTTTTTAAAAATCAACATTTTTTCCCACCTTTTACTGCATGTTGTCTAATCTTCCTATGCAAATACCCTATGTAAAACGCGTGATGTTCTCACAGTCTTGCGCGCCGGCTTTGGTTGTCATCTCAGTGGCGGGAAGTGCGCGTCAACTTTTTACACCTTAGGTGTGAAAAGTATCACTGACATCGCGATTCGCGACTTTTAACTTTAACTTCGGAGAAACATTGGCAATCGCCAACTTGTAACACTTTAATGAGAGTGCAGCAAGCTGCAGTGATTGTTTGCTGTTCGTAGATATTGCCAGTTTGAACGCTGTCTTCTATTGCATCTAGTCTGGTTATAAAATTACAGTCCTGGATAGCAATAGATGAAGTTTTTTCTTCTGATGGGAAAGTTGTATGGTACAAAGTGTACATCAACTTGTGCCCTCCAAATGATTTTTAAGACATTTGTATTATTTTTAAAATATATTTTGGAAATTTTTTTTAAATATAATTTTGAAGTATGTAAAAATGACCTGTAATTAGTGAATTTTAATATTACATATTATATTCGATATTACATATTTATTACATATTTGTACTGTTTTCATTTGATATTTATGTATATATTTTGGCATTTCATTCTATGTATTTTCCCAGTCTCTAGTAATTTTAAACACATAAATTAGCAACTAAATACTTAAGAACTGTAAATACTTGCCTCAAAACTATTTGGACACTTATTCAGCAGACTTATTTTTCCATTCTTTCTGCATTACCTCCTTCAAATGCTGCTTCAATCTAATTGGGGATTTTCTAAATGCCAATCCCAGTAAATACCCCAGATTTTCAATCACATTAAGTGATTTGAAAGGTGGATGGAGCACTTTTGAGCAGTTGTATAATAACTAAAGTTGTACTGTTTGTGCTGTATGATTCAGGTCATTATCTTGATAAAACAGAAAATTGCCAAACAGACCCATTTGTTGAGCACTTTTTAAACATTTTCTTTAAGGACATTAAGATAACTCTTCTATTGATTACTGATTACTTTGTTCATTATCTGCTCGATGAATACCAAGTTACCCACACCATTCGCCAACATGCAGCCCCACAACATGAGATATCTGCCTCTGTGTTTTACAGTTGCGTGCAGATTGCCCTGTTTCAACTCTTCATTTGGTTTGCGCGAAAATTACGTGATTCCACCATTCTTTATTCTTCCCTTTGTGTTCTCTTGCGAACTGTATTCTTTTCCTTCCATTACTTTTACTTATGAAGGGCTTTCTTCTTGCGAAACAAACTCAGAAATTTGCTCTCCTCTGAATCCTTCTTAAAGTTTTCGCACCAGCTTTCTTTCCTAATTCGTTTTCTAACTATACCACTATTTCAGGACCACTTCTACGAGGATTTCTTTTCACTGTCCTGAGAATCCAGTTTTCTTTTCGATTAGAAAACTTCTAAGGGTGGCCCGTCGAGGGTGTAGCCAGATTCTTTTTTCCATATTGAACTATACTGTCACTTACCGTATTCTTTTTCGTCATTAATATTGGAGAAATTTTTCAGAAACTCTCACCTTTCATATGGCAAATACAACCAGCTGATGCTGTTCGAAAGTACTGTTTCTGCCTCTGCAAGTCATGTTACTCTTTCGCAGTAAAACGAAGAGAGCAAACTGGGGCTGGCTCTTGGATGACCTTTCATGTTCAATGTCCATTGATTTCAACAGTTTCTTTCTAAATTTGAAGGACTTATTTCACTTCAGACCTTTCTGTCCGAATAGTTTTGAGGCACACTAATTTGTGTAACTGGTAATTAAAAGGTCATTTTACTTCGTAGCGCTAATTTTTTAAGATGATGTTTTTGTTATTTTTGCGGCTAATTCCAAATTAGCTAGATTATGTTGAATAAAAATATAATAATTAACTATTTCTGTAAAAATCTTTGGTCAAAGATTCTTGAAATTACAGGTGTCTGTATAGTCTTGATGTTACTGTATGTATGTTATTTACTGTTTTGCCAAAACATTGGAATAAAAACAAACATTTCCTCCCCAATAGTGACCTTGTGTTCCTGTTCTTTGCTCGTACTTTCAAATCGTGCACATTCCCCCAACTTCATACTTAGGTATTTTCATTGGTCCATTTATCCACTAGTCCTTTCATATCAAGTTGCTTAATATATTCTAACACTAGCGGACCCGACAGACTTCGTCCTGTTCAAAAGATTTGTAATGTGACAGTTTTTTGTTCCTACATATTTTATAGTCTAGGCAAAAAAATCTCCTGAACAGAACCGTCACCCTGGTGATAGGGCGTTGTGAATAAGAAATATAATTT